ATGTGGAATTAGGAAACACGTTCATGTAGAATTGCTTTCCCGCGCGCCCCTAAATAAACACCATTTGAGATCAATCGTTCGCCTATTCTGGATTATGRACCATGATGGCCTATTCTAAAAATAAACATTTTCAATCAAATGAGGTTTCAGTACAGTCCATTTTCCTGGGATCAAGATGAGGCAGCCGTTGGACGGTATTCCACCTCGAAGTTCTAGCTGTACGCGCTTTGAATATGTCTGTCAATCAAAAATAAAAAGTGAATAAGACCGCCATATTTAACCTAAGCTTGTGAGGAAAAAGTAATGRTAACGCAGTAGTGGAATGRTGAGTTGAATTCGCGTACATAAATRATGGCGGTCAAATCAATTTTAGTCTATTAGCGGTTCTAATAATTTATAATATGTCACAAATGTTTGCATAATTACAATAATTAATGCTGACAAAAGATGAGGAATAAAGTGAACCAACAAGTTAACAGTCAMGATGTATACTTTCAAACAAGGAAGTGGAATGTTTTTGGCTTTTTAGAGTTAAGCTCGTGTTTCATTGGTTTAGAAAAGTTTTGATAATTTTATGATTAAGCTAAGCAGTGGATGGACTTTTTTTTCTTTTTTCAAACATATTTATAATACTAATTTCTAATGGTAAACCACTCGCAAATTTCTCGTTGCCAGGCATTTARGGTGTTATATTTTCCGTCATGAAAACTTTCCCCCCAATAGACTGAAGAGAACACACATCCCAATACGATATCCTCCACCACTGAGCGATCTTTAGGATTGACTTTYTTTCCGGCGCGAAATAAATGCGGTGTCTTTCAGTGAAGCATTAATTTGTTTACCACTGCTGTTGTCCACCGTATCACACTTCAACACACGACTAAAGGTCAACCGTTCCTAACATCCCAACTTCTCAACTTCATGAGCTCAATGACATACGAGTTGGACGGGATGCATGGATAAATCATTAGCTGGTCTCGACCAGCTTAGGTTGTCTTTTACCAAGCATTCATGCGAACAGCCTCGCCGAGWTGGCCGCTAGTTTCGAGGTCAATCTCTTCAATACTGAGATTTCAAATACATTGGACACTTTCTTTTGAACAATAGTTGCAAAGAAATTTATGAATCATGAGATGTTTTAGTACGTGAAGCATTGAAGTCGCTTGGGGATTTTCCATGGATTCCTCACGGAGAACCCCGAAGCGAAAAGCCTTTGTACTCTTGGATTTCGCTGCTAGAATTAAGAAGATTACGCCATTTAATTGTAATCTGTCAAGSCTGCTCACTCGTGGTTAGAGAAAGCTGTAAGGGCTAAAACAAGAAATGGCTGGAATGTCCCTTTCAGTTCTGGTAAGTAGATCATATTAGTTTCAAAAGATCTCTCAACTCCGATTTAAGAATAAGTGAATTTGACTCCATACAGTTAGGTCAGTATGATATATGACTACCTTTTTTGAATACAATACTTGATGGAATACAAAAAATGACAGAGAAGGAAAATTTTAAAGTCTAAATCAAAACCGGATAATCAAATGTATGGTACATGTTAATAGCATATAGTTTTTATGCATTTGGAGCGGGCTCCAACTATACTTTTCGAGTTTCGTTGTTCTACTTTAAGGTAGGAATGTTTATCTTAGGACCGCAGAGTCTGAGCCTCCAGCTTTAATTGAAAAACACTCTGTTTACAACACAAATAAAGTGCTATTACGAGAGAGATTTAAAAAAAAAAACTATTTTAATGTTGAGTTTGACTTAGAGTCGTGATTTCAAAYATGGAATGAATTTGAATGCTATATGCTTTTGATGTCAACTTCGATGGCGCGACTTTTAATGAGGTCACCAATAATATCCATTTTCTTCTTTTTGCCTTGMGTTTGACAAATTGCCTATCAAAAGGAAGTAGTTACTATAGTTGAACTCTTTTGTTCTCTAATTTGAGATATTAAGATAGGAACTCACTTCCAAGGGCAGGAACAGCTAGATTGCATTAGACTCACCCACATATGGGATTAATTCTTTCCTAGATAGTTTTATCGAAATTGAAACTGGCTATCCTTGCAGACTTTTAAGAATGGTTTGTCGGTGTTTTCTTTGTTAACCAACACCCGAGACGCGAGAAACGCAAAACGCGTTGGYTAGGACCACAAATACTATTGACTAACCTTCCTCCCTACTTGTATTCTATCGACATAAATAAAGAGTGTTAAATAGAATCGACTTAGACTTTGATGTGGTTTAGGCGCAGAGGCCAGAGAGACTTAATATTGATAGTAGTATAGAAATAATTAGTCATAATCGGTCTTACGATCATGCCGCTCTGATCTGAGCAGGCTGCGGCAAAGTCTTGAAGAAAGCGAGTTTCACCGTCATGTCAGCTATACAACTCAAGCAAACAATTGAAATTATTTATAGGAATGAAGCRCAAGGGACAGCTGGGAATGCGCATTGGTGTATGATTGACTTGACTTGAAGATTCTGGTTTAGTTGCTCTTATGAATTAACAATGTATAGGGTTKGAACACAGCGGCTTCCAGCGGGTGCCTAGAGAGACGAAGCTGTTTCCGTAGGAAGATTGACAGAGCGGTCCCTCTTTTGCAAGTATCGATTTCGTATCAAATATTACCCGTTGCACCGAGCGCGACGTGGAACGAGCAAAATATGATTTAGGACGTACTTCACAACTTGGCCAGTTAACTTCCAAATACTAGACTGAATATCGAGTATTAGTGAAAACGAGAATGATGTATTCTCCTAGTTATAGCAACTATAATGTTCCTCAGTACCGACCTCACGCTCCTCCACAAACAAGGACGCAAGTGTACCATCCATGTACATATCATCCATCAAGGTTCCCGAACGTGGACCCTTTAGCTTCATCAAGTCCCCCTTTATCTTATACAGGAACTGTGAGTCGAAATTATCCGCCTCCTTTATCCCATCCTAACGACCCTACAAGTGGATACTTCTCAGCGTCTTTCAGGGAGAGTACACCGTTGTATCGGAACGAAATTATCACACCAGCACAAGACTTCACTTCTCCAACCAACCAACAGTGCAGATTTCCGAATAACGTCTGTGACGCCTATATCGAGAGCTGCGATGAAGGTACCATATAAACGAATGCTCTGGACACTTAGTTCTTTTTCTACATACTTTTGTTTTATTTCTAGACTAGGAAAGAAAGTTTTATTCGCGCGCAACTTGACTGAGGTACGAATTAACGCAGCCAGTTCTCACGTACTCTGAGCTGCACTTGACCTCCATTTCAAGAAGTTTAAATATATTCCATATTCGTAATCGTTTCGTTAAATAAGAAGTTTACAGAAGATCTTTTCAATAACGTGTGATATTCCTAAAGGGATAAACTTAAAACCCTTATGTTATATTGACATACAAGTTGTTAATTCTTCCTGTTTGGTTATTCTGCTCATTTAACTTGAAMTTTCATCGCTGGCAACTGGCGAACGATACGAAGCAAAATCATTCAAGAATTAAAATGTTTCGTCGACAGCTTTTCTTCAGTGGTTTGCCACAAGCGTTTAGCCATAAAGACACTCGAGAAACCAAAGCCTCAAGTTTTATTTTTCTAAAAACAAGGCGCAAAAATCAAAATAACAGCAAGTTGACTACTGTGATAATATTTTCGTAATTTATCTTCGATTGGAATGGCCCTGAAACCACTTCTAGCTAAAAAAGCTATGAATATCAGAGGATTGAATCTCAMACCCTTTATCTTACCTCCTAATGGGGGGCTTTCAGTTCCTAAATTGGAGAAAATACTTTTTTTTCCTTTCTTGTGTTCAAAGCCATTATGTGGGTTGACTTTTTTAACTCCAGCACAATGAACAGCTAAGAAAAATAACTGCTGCATTAACCCTAACCACAAGATCTACTTTTATTATTATTCTACCTAGGTAGAGTCCTTAACAGTTAAGACTAGGCTTTTCTTTAGTATTGTTTATCATAACAGAGTAAGACATTGAAGCCAAATGTTATAAACATGATTTAAAACCTTACAAAACTAAGCTTGAAAAAAATCTAAACAAAGGTTTGGACACTGAGCCAGCACGATTCTTGAAGTTGAGGATGCTATCAAATGTTAGAAAATTCAAACTCTAACTTATTTCTATTGTTTGTCATCTTTAAAAAAGCTAGTAATGTTAACCAAGAGAGTTTGTTCCTTGTGGAAATGTTCTTTTTATAGTGCAGTTAGTATTAGGATGGCTGAAGTGGTTTCAGTGATGTCCAGTCAACAATCATAAAATGGCACAACTTTATTGGATATGTTTGCATTATCACTAGCTCAGTGTTTGATGACCACTTAGTCTTGTATCACTAGTCATATGTCATCGTTTCTTTTCTCTCAAAACAATCCACATTGAAACTTTCCCTAAAGGGAACAGAAAGAACAAGCCTTACTCAGTGCCTAAGTTGTTGTCGTTGCACTGAATTCGTCCTAAGATTACATCATTCAAGTACATTAATGTACACTAGTTATTTAATACCCAAGAGTTTTGTACACTAGAGAGCATGGAAAAAGCACCCTTACTTTTTCCAATGTACAAAAAAGAAGGCTTTTTCAAAAGCAGAGAATCAATGATCACATATTAGTCGGTCCAATTTCACTGTATTTGTCAGCATGTCAACGTTCTTGTACTAACTGAATGTATGGGCTAGAAATAATAACTACAATCTAGTGCCATTGAAGTATACCTTGACGTAATAATTTTGAAAAGGAAGATGTGATTAGTTTCATATCTTTTTCTAAAATCGAATCAACAATTTAACTACTTTCTCTTATTGGACGTAATTGAGTTAAAGAARCCAAAGCATTCATAGGAAAAACCAAATCTTTATCATAATCTTTTTAAGTCGATTGACTAGGTTTTCTACACAGCTAAAGATCAATGAATCACCGTACATAACAAGACTTCGAGTCGAATAAAGAAGTCTTTCGTTCTCAAGTTGACCATACTTTGAACAAATTCATTCCCTAAATTAAAGGGTTTCGTACCCATTTTTCAACCAAAATCCAGAAGTACATAATTTTGGTTTTAGAAGCTTTGTTCTTTTACATGTAAGTCATTGTCCACCTGCCGATTGGTTATGACCGATTCTTTGTTTCCTTCAAACCACATATTTTTGGAAGAAGAAGAAAAACGGAATTCAAGATCTTTATTAATGGACATCTTTTGGGTGGGAACATGCCATCTCATCTGATCAAACATCTACGAGCTCAAAACTACTGAAGAAAGATTGTCGGTGCACTCATTGATCACAAAACACCGCACTATTCATTTACGCGAACGTAGAGTTTCATTGATGCCCTGTGCCGCTTTTCAAATGCACCAAGCGGACACTTAAAGTTTTTGTCTTCCATAAGCRAACGAACAATGAGCTTGCGGTTTAATGCGGCGCTAGTCAAAGGAAGACTAAACTAGACCWTCAATGAAAAGAACCTCACTGTAATTATCCAGACCATATCATATCTACCATGGAAGCACGCCGCTTTAGCGGTCCCAACTTTTTATCACGCCGAAAAAAACTTAATCATCAAAAATTTCTGGGGGCCTTCATTTATGYTTTTTAAGTCCGACCTTGTTAAGCTTGAGATTTTAAAAACAGACTTGAGATTTAGAGAGTTTGGTTCGTAAAGTACGAGGACAAATTGAAAACGATTGATTATATATCGTCATGTCAAGTATTATGTCAAGCATGTGAGAGTAATTAATTAGTTGTAGAGTTTGAGTGACAAATGCTGTTTTTTGGGGGGACGTCGGCAACATCTTCTCAAAAATTATCGAGAAAAGATTCAGCACTCGTGTTATTCTTGTATGTTGCTGGAATAGTTAAAATAATTTGAGTTCATTTAAAGTTACTCGAAGTATCAGTTGCATCAAAAATTACCAGCGGGGCCTTGTACATCTGATCATTTGCAGTCATRTAACTGCACTTTTGTAGCCTCAAGTAATGTGGTTCTTTCCGACAATTCATAAATATACCATTTTTCGCACTTAACTCATTCAGACAGCGCTAAATTTAACACAATTTGAGGATGTTTTGAAAGTGAAGTTAAATTAAGTATTCATGGAYCGAAGCTTAGAAAAAATGACGTAAACCCACAAAGATGGCCAATTTTGTCCAATCTCCTGCTTCGTGCATAACAAAGTGCATTCTTACTGTCTGCTAAACCTAAGAAAACCCCTTATACAATACAATACAATAACTTTATTTATACTTGAATTACAAGATAGCAAGTACATGCTAATATCTCCAAGTTATATCTCCTTAACTCGAAACCTGAAGTTGTAAACAAAAAGTTTAATCATGAAATTTTATAAAAAAGAGAGAATTACAAAAATTAGGGTTTAAATAAAGACACTTGTTCTTTTTCCATAAGGTTGAGCAGTTGAGGTAAAATTCCTTAGCTTTCTTTGATCCATTTAGTTGATGTAAACAAATATATTGCTCGTTAATAAAAGAATAACTATAGAAAAATGCTAAACCAACTGAAAAGGAAATTAGATTTATATTCGTTAATTAGAATGTTACACAAAATGACCAAGTATTTTGTTTTTACCAAGAAAAGGGATATTGATGGTGAAGAATGCTAAGCAGGGAAGATACTGAATACACATGAAGTATTTAATCGACTTTATGGTCAAGTCATTTCATTTGGTCTCGGTTAGGGGCCAACGAAGAAGTATCGTTTGTACATGTGTTTCTTGAATACTTTCATACTTTTACTATGCACAAAACATGAKGAATAATACAAAGTATATGATCATAATGTAACGTTCTTTAAAAATGCAAAGAAAAAAATCAAAACGAATAACCGTAAAGATAATTCATTCGTAASACAGTATTTCGTTTTCTGTAGTTTGTACTTTACTGAATACTTCTGTACTATTTTTTGTCAACTCGAAATAAATCTGTTTTAYTCTTGTCTCTCAGGTTCCAAATCTCCATCGGACGATGGCGAAGTTTCGGCCAAAACAGGCAAGAAACGYAAAGAAAGAACCGCATTCTCCAAACATCAGCTACAAGAACTCGAAAATGAGTTCATACGCAACAACTACTTAACTCGACTTCGCCGTTACGAGATCGCAATAAGTCTGGATCTAACGGAAAGACAGGTCAAAGTTTGGTTCCAAAACAGGAGAATGAAGTGGAAGCGTGTAAAGGGAGGTAAAAAGCCTGAAAAACGAACRCAGTTGGCAACAGATAATGTAGAATCATGTAGTGCAGAGCAGGAACAACTTTGATGATCTAAAATTGATTCTAGTGAGCTCAAGGGGGAAAAATATGTATATATTCTTTAAATTATATATTTACTGTAATTATCGAATCCATTCGTTCTAGAATTGAGTTTCAAAATGTATACATACAATTAATATGTATTGTATATTCAAGTGTATGTGTAAAAAATTRTCATCTCCATTCAGTCTTGTTGAGAAAGTCTCGCAAGTCGACCTGCATGAATTCATGAATTGTAAGAATTTGTTCGATTGTAAATCATGGTTTGTAGTAGCTAGTGCACCGTTGTAAAGAAATTCTTAAGATGACTATAAAGATGCATGTAAATATTGTCAATCGCTTAAGGATGCACAGATATGGACATTTTGATTCCGACATTGCTAGAGGCACACACTTTTCAAGCGGCCAAGAAAATTGGGAACGTCATTGCGAGGAGGGGTTTCTTTCTCGTCGAAACACCAGCCTGGTTTGAACAAATGAATCTACAAGGAATCATAAAATATCGCGGCATGAAGTTAGAGTAATCCCTCAGTTTTGAGGAGCTTATTTGAAGTCTCTAGCTATAGGTCCTAGTCTAAGGCTAAACTCAACAAATAGTTGTGCAAGCAAATAACCTGTGAATCTGGAAAGAAAGGATTTAAAAGGATTTTATCTTGTAATCAGTGTACATGTGTCCTGCCTATTTTCTTACAGGGAAAAAATCCTTTTTCCTACATCGAATATCTTCAATCGCAGCTAGGGGCCATTACGAAACACTTTCAGTTGTACGTCATTCTATCTTTTGTCACTGTCTAGCAAGCCTTTTGATAGCATGGTGGAAACAAGCAAATCTGACTAGAAGTACTTTAGTATCCGCTGCTTTACTACACTTCAGTTTTTCTTCCACGTACCCTTCCTGTGTATTATTTCTGTAAAGGAATATGCTACCATTCATACTTGTACATATTGAATAAACAGATCTTAATCGAAAAACTGTATAACTAGCTTATTTAATTTTGAAACCTTTATTTGCTATGACTGTGGTTCTGTGCTAGCTTTGTTAATTGTATTGCATAGGACTTCAAAATAAAAACAGAAAGACGGCTTTAATTCAGGTTTTCTTCCGAGGCTTTTCACATGCAATRTYACTAGRATAACTTGAAATTATATTTCATGTWTTKGAGCTTTAYTTTGYTGTCGTGGTTGAYATAGCTCGTCGGACAAAACCTKTACATSGCTMGYTCGTTCCGTTCTAATAGCCTTTTTTTACAGAACTTTACTGTTGAATGTTTGATTTTAACAAGACTTGGTATGTTTGAAACTTGATGTCGTGGTTTGCTTAGTAGGTAAGCSAATGCTGCACCTATTTTTATAAACGTATGACCTTACTTGGCTTTGCAACAAAAACGCGGCTTCCTAGAAGCGTTAGGAGTAGATTTCGGATTCCCAGCTTCAACTCCCCTCAGTAGGCCCAAATGCTTGTTCCGAAAGTTAACCACCTTTGTTTTGGATTCGAAAAACACCCTACTGGATAATTCTAGATCTTAGGGTATGAATCATAAAGCTGATCCACATTTTTTAAGCTTACGGAGTGTCGACGTGGACCGAGTTAGCTGAAGGAATCTCTGTACCCATCTTGTCTTTGCTCAAGTCTAAAAGCCTTACTTACGCCCATGGATATTTATTTCTGGGGCGTATTCCTAGGCYCACATAGTATTGCTGCTGTACTAATAAATATATAGTTCTTGTTTTATTAAGATTTTGAGGGAAGCGGGCCGAGGAACAATCTGCCCARGAATGATAGCGCTATAACGGTAGACAGGCGGTGTTCTTTGATACATACAAGGGGTCTAAATGTTCCTTGACTAATGCGTCGACCAATAGGAGGGCAAAAAGACCGTAATCACAACAGCACGTTTCATGGCAAGAATATATATATATATTATATATATAAAGGATTAACATTCTGTGCAAACTACTGAGAGTAACGGTAGAGATCGATTAATCATGGGATTAAAATTAGACTTCGTTGTTTTAGCTTAACTGCTAAACGTTGAAAGTTTGCCGTTGCTAACGCTGTCATCCACGCTTCCTTACAAAAGAATATGATGACCCTACATTGACTGGCTGAAGTGCGCAACGACTTTGCATTGCGCGACAAAGCGTCYAAAGGAGAACATTCTGTGAATCCAATTTATTTTTCCCTTTCGTTGAACTTCTTTTTTCGTTTCTCTTTGTTTTGGAAGACAAATATTTTACAGCAATTTTCAATATTAAGCGTGCGGGCTGCACGCTGGAATTTGGTTTTTGCTTCCATTAATCAAAAATAGCCAGTCGGTACCTTTAACATTCGTGACTAGTGGCAGTTTACCCAAAATGCAACTCACAACACGCAACTATCGAAAGGCTGAACATTGTTACGTACAGGCATTGACTTTAGCCGCAAAAATAAATGCGTTTGATTTTTACATTCTACAATTGTTGATATGGAGAGAAGTTCTCACCGATATCACTTCGTTATTTCGAGATAAATTCAGGTTTACATCCGTCAAAAACATGCAAACTCCAGTATCTTGAACTTTGACGCACACTTTACTGTTTTTGCTCGATCAAGTGTTAATTTTTTTTTTGGCATTTCGCTGGATGAATTTGAAGGTATCTCTGGTCTGGCAAAGAATCCGAAGATGTAAGCCAGAGTTAATTTGTTGCAAGTTGCGCCACAATTCTAGAAAATTCTGCAAGGCGCGAGATTAATTTGCAGTATGTGTCGTACCCTTTTGATAATTTTTCCTATTTCGATCAGGAACGAAAAAAAAAAAAAAAAATCAAAATCAAATAACTTTTAATACGTCTCATCCCTTGGAACACAGCTTTCTCTTAATTTATTTGGCTTTTTGGTTTGTTTTACAAAACCCTCGGTTAGTGACCAATAAGGCCTAATCTGACTTAAGGGAGGTGAAAGCCCAACTGAKGTTTTTCCACATAACCAATAAAAATGTTACAGGGACCTGTTATTTCTGAATGAGAGATGCATAAAACACAAGCGCAAATCTAGGGAAGGAATACATTGTGCCTCTGAGCCCCTTCCTGCCAATGATTGCCTCAAAAATTCTGGAAGGTAGCATCTTTGCGAATAGAAGATTGATATTTATTTCTGGGGTGAGACCTCACAACTCATAATCCTATATTCACCCTTATTTGCTTATATTTTTTAACGCAATGACCGCAAAGCTACTTGACATAAAAAAAGCTAAAAAAAAGTTTGGTAAACTAGTTTAGTTCACAACACGCCATTTGAACTCTACCCTGCAGTTTCATCAAAAGTTAAGCATAGTATAGTCTTTATTACTTTTCAAACCTGAAGTCCATATGACGGCTTAGATCTTCAGATGTCTATGAGGAAATTTTGAATCGTAGGACCATGTTAAAAAAACTTCATGAAGAATTGCCATTCCTGAATAAATATTATTAATACATAAAAAAGTTGRGAAGAAATAGGCTGAAATCCCGCCTGATGCTCCTGTTTGTATTTTTCCATCCATCCGTCCATCCTTCCTTCTTAATTTCCTTTCTCCCTTCGATTCTTCCTTCCTTACGTCCTTGCTTCCTAGAATCAGGTCGAGCATGATTATCCGGACATGATGACCTGCGTTTATTCTAATTAAGATMTCTGAACTTTGTCTCTAATATTTAAAATTTGTTCTCAGGAAAAGAAAGGAAAGAAAGTTGAATGAGTTTACTGTAACCAAAACAGAAACACACCATCAGAAAATTTGTTTTAAGAAACCCTTCAACCATGGGCCCCACTTGCAACCAGTCTTCCTCCAATTGCTAAGCTTTATTTATTGTTATTTACATGAAAGGCCGGACTGGAAGGATGGATATCAGTATCTATAACACAAAGAAATTGAATGTCAAATTGACTCTCAAATTCCCGGCTCACTCACTACTCGAATGATTTYACTTCCTTCCAAAAAAGGCCTGGTTACTTAGCAGACGACATTACGTGACCCACCAAAGTCCGCTGTSCATAATGAACGAAGCACCCATCGGCACTACCAAAGACAATAACATACAATTAGGATGCTGGCTCCAGTCTACCAGTTGGCCAGACAGTTAAGAATAAAGGATATGTCAAGATTGGTATTCAAGCAATATTGAGTCATCCTTGGGTCACAGGCAATTAATCATAATCATGCTAATTGAAACGGCATTTAAGTATTTGCCATATTTAGTCGCTGATTTTTTGTCATTATTAGCATCATTTATTGGCCATGTTTAGTTAACCTTTCCTTTTTTGTTTTATTTACAGTTTTTAATATGGCCAGTAAATTTCTTGTAAATAAGATAAGAATCAATTAAACGTTATTTCTTTGTCGTGATTGGTTGGTCGGTTCTGACGTTTTTATGTCTTACATCATTCYCAAGGCTGTCTGGCTGTCCTTCTAGTTGACTGAATGTAAGTGGTTKGACTATTTGATTAATATCAATGATCAAGCGTTACAAGAAGGATGTCTTTGAATTAATCACAGTTGGAAGTAAAAGCAAGATGTGGAGGAATCAAATACTTGTATCAAAACGTTAAGCGGAAGACTTATTTTGGCCGGGACCACTCATATACTATAGCTAGGCAAAAACTACGCAGCACCAAAGTAAAATAAAACGAAACCATAAAAGGATAATATAGGTGCCAACTTCAGCTTATGGAATCTCTTCGTGAATTTTATATTATAAAACTCAAAAATTTGAGAGTTAACTAGTTTCTTTTGACACTGAGAATCTGCGTTGCAATTGCCAGATAAAAGTGTTTAAATTTGAAGAAACGACACTTTCTATCATTGCTATTCTTAGATTCTTTGCCGTGATTTCACGACTTAAGTTTCCAAACAATCTATAAAGCAACACATTTCCGGCTCACGATCAGTAGTCACAGCTAAAGTAGTATTCTGTGGCAAGGTGTGATATCAGAAATGGACTTATAGTGCTTTCCAGCTAATTTGAATGCTGGAGCAGAGCTGCAGGCGATCTGCTCCGTTTTTCATTTAATGARCCAAGAATCTATCCACATGATTATTATAATGCAATATAAAAGGCATGAGGAAACGATTGTCTTATATTAACGCGTTTTTAATGTTGTCTCACCAGTTTAACTACTCCAGTGTGCCTGAACCAAAACCAGTACTTGTCCAGCTATGTTTCTTTTTTTAAAAAAAACTTGTACAAGCCTCGTGTCGACTTCACCGGCTATTYTCGGTGATCGGTGCCGGTACACAAAATATTCTAGCTACACACCAATCTCTTGGCATCTTGAATCATGAAGAAACATATCGCTGTTATTATATTTAGAGAATAAACATCTTTCTATCGTTTGCGGCAAAGCTTCCTTTTAAGCGATAGTCAAGTGTTTTTACGCCAGTGGGTCAATGTCTTGCAGATGTATTCCAACGGAAGGCAATACCCCATTCTGGTAGTACTAGAATGTATTTTCTAATTGTTTCAGTGGTAATAAAGTATTACGAACAGCTACAATGCGTACGTAGGAGCGGGTTAATTTGTTTAGCATCTGATGYTTGGCGGCAACCTCAAAGCCAGCGTTTATCGCATGTCCATAGGTAGCAATGATATTTATTTTTCGTGTGCTACAAATCCACCTTCGTTAATTCGCCTTTGACAATTCACGACACTTTTGAACATGTTATAAACATTCCTAGCAGTTTAAGCGTTCGAACACATGGATAAAATACGCTTAGTAATCTTGGAAAAGATCGGGTAAAGGAACCTTTGGGAATTCACTTAATTTGGTGAGTGGCAGCGCAGCCCTGTCCGTGGAAAGTCCACATGTATCGCTTARCATTTGAAACCTGCTGCTCGCGAAGTGTGGCTCCGTATCGATTTCACACATGACATCAACTGTAAAAGGGGTAGTTCCTTATCATATTAAACGAATCAGTCAAGAAGCTTCCCGACAAAGCCGGGAGAGAGCAGTTCTGTAGTTTCCTACACAATGTATAGTCGAGGATTTGGGTACCCCAACCAGGGCTACAATCAGTACAACACACCTTATCCAGGATCTCCGCAAGGACAACCTCCTCATCAYTACAGACCGTACATCTATAACACTCCACGTTATAGCTTCAATGCTTTTCCYCCACCAAGTTCTACTCCTTCCTACAATCATATGCCTCCACTTCCATACGCCCCAGAGGGACGAATGGTGGAAGTGTCTTCCAAGCATGAATATGAACCAGTACACCATCAAGTTATTGAACCACAAATGCGGCCACAACTTCAAGTACAACCAAGACCATTAATGCAACAACCATGTAATGCGCGCAGCACTAGTTCTGAAGTGCAAGAGCTGGAAAACGTAGCAGACAAGACGGAGAAATTAGCGGAAAATTGCCAAGAAGGTAAAGCGCCATTTAGTTCTTAAATTCAAAGGTGACATTTTTAGTGTGGCGATAAATATTGACAAAAATTAAAGAATGAAAGGGGATTAATTTAGCGAGAGTTCTGATTGCTATGGTCGAGTCATTATTTTGTGCTTAAGAAGGAATTACCGAATCATTGATCAATCTATTGTGTCGCGGCGCCGAACATCCCTTTCAATTGTCTAACCACATTTCATGTTCAAGGCCAGACGACAGTACCTATTTTCTGACTCGACAGGAATCACGCAAAATAGACTTCTAGAGGGATGTCAAATTATTTATAACCTCTATCTAACCAAAACAAGCATTTACTTTAAAATGGTAGCATATTTAATCAAGATATCGTTCACTATCTCGTCCTCAATCAATGAGATATTAATTCTGATACGATTCGTTTCACTGACTTTCAACCCACCATTTTCTGCGATTGGCCAGTCTCGTAAAATTTGAAATACAGTTTCTCTACTCGTTATTATCTTTATTTTCCCGTTTATTTTTGACAAGCGAATTAGAAGTCACTTTACAACTACATCATATGATAAGAACAATTGCACGTAACGTTAGAAAATCTTGCTGTTTAAAACAGTGTTTCCGCTAGGAAACGAACGTAGATTGATTGATCTCACGTCGTGCAAACAGACCAAAGGATTCTAACAGCGGGCTGAAGTTCGAGATAAACGAGAAGAACCAGCAAAAGCTGTCTGCAGGAAATACTATGATTAGTATTTACTGCACGAGGCATGATATATCATTAAGATAGTCCTTGCCCAAATGTGCCCACGAAACTATAAAAATTGTTCCAGCATGAAAATATGATAAATTTCTTAGTCATATACGACATCTTTTCTTAGAGCACCAAATACCGGTCGTATAAATACTAAAGAGAGCGTAGTAGGGATTGCAGCTCTGTCAAAATAATCTACAATTAGTAAATACTGAGTCAAACTTTATCTATGTTGAAATAATGGGCTGGAAGCTGAACAAACCTGAATTATAYTGCATACGTGAGATGAAACATGCGCAAAGAAAAAAAGTCAAGTATATATATATATTTGTGTTGCTTTGTCTTCTCATTGTCACACGAAATGTTTACGATGGCGAGTGACGAGCATTCCATTTACATTGCTTCAGTTTTAAGATCTCACAAATTTCAAGATAACAGAAAAAAGTAAATTAGGGCTTTCTTTCAAGACTYTGTTTAACTTTTCCGGTGTAAATTTGATGATTAACTTGCAATCAGCGAGGTATTTCAGAAATCACGAGGAAACTCCCCACCGTACCAACATTTATCAGRTCCCTAATCCCTAAGATATGAGTTCCCAAAGCGAAACAACCAAAGTTCAGACAGGTTTCTGACTCACTGAAAGATAGCCATTTTTAGCGGCAAGAAACCAAGAAGTTCAGAGCCGCTGCCTGATGATATCTTTTGAAGATGACATCAAGTGTCTGCCAGCGTGACTAACATTCATTGTTATGCATGAGCTTTCTGTCAATGCTATTTTTACCSAGGGACGAGATGGTATTGCAAGGAATTTCGCTGTCAGTATTCGAAAACCATATAAATAATAACCATAGATAGTGATTAATATTATCTAGAAAAATGGAAGTTGGACTCAAAATGAACCTGAAGCCATTAATATTTGTCCACTCATTTTGTCGAAAAAGCAACCCACATCTTAGCTTCAAATAACAAATGACAAAATTAGACACAAAGTGTGAAGTGTCTAACTGTAAAATTAGGAGCAAAACGTTTTTGACAAATTTAAGCTAAAAATGTATTTACAAAACAACTGGCAATCGAATGTGGCACGTGAAATATTATTCTTGGAGTTGATTGGAATTACCTAGTCGACTTATTCTTTCRTACTTGGATGTAGGCCAAACCCTAGGTCTGTATTCCATTCCACCATTGAGGACATTCAGTCATGGATTCCTCTGACGGAGTCATTCAACTAATGCACTCGAAACTAATGGTTTCCAATTGAATGATTTTTACGTATTAAAATGTTGTTATCTGTTGCCTGTGTGTAACTATAATTAATGAGTATTTTACATCGCCCAARAAGAGGAATATCAGCTTATCTGTTTTGTACCTAAATGCTGAATACAACTCATTTTAAGCGCGCATTAATGTCCGACAATTGAGTTTAAACGYATTTTTAACGATTTTGAAACAGGAATTGTATGGTCCTGAATCAGCAACTCGTTTTGTTAAACTGATATTTCACAAATAACAAAGCGTAGGTGGCCCTAGGTATCAAGCACAATCTTGATCAAAAAGCAATTCAAGTGGCAACTCACGTTAAGGACTTCAATCTTTTACGAAAAAAAAAAGAGCTGTAGGGAAGCAGACGCACAGTACGATCGTACTGTGCAGAAATATTGAGAAAATTTCTTCTTTAGTATTCTTTTTCGCTTTTTGCACTCGTTATTGCTGAAATTGTAATTGATTGCTTCTAAAAATATCATTAAGTTGAAATCAATCAAGCAAGAAGCTGATTAGCTTTACAGTTATAGCTGGGCGCTGATCACGAGCCAGTCTGATGYGAACGATAAGGTGTGTCGATGGAAGCTTTCAACTGCAAAACACGATAACGAAATTGAAATTCAAAATCMCTAATAAACTGGTATCAATAACAAACTTTTCTGAGTTTGAAGGAGTTGGCATGCATGTTGTTTTGCTTTCTTGAGAAATATGCACAAAGTCCTGCACAATTTACCTATCATTTAGAAAACGAGTTAGTGGTTAAGGTATGCTAGAAATGTGATGATTAGAGCATTTGGAAGCCATACAATACTAGGAGGAAAATGGTGRGCTGCCTCAGCATCAAACAAACATAAAAACCTAACAGTATATATATTCTGGATATAACATTTGTGATTTTATTTATCCGCTACTAYTCCTAGAGCTTCCTTTAATTTGGTTTGTGTTTTTTAGTAGCACTGTTAATGTGCCTTGGAACCTTCTTGAATTTTTTTCGGAGCCAACTCCTCAAAGATATTTTGGGTTTAAATTCTACATGATATTTGAGTGCATAGCCCCGAAGTACATTAAGGCTACATTATAACTTGCTACAAAGTCGACTTTATTGTTTTGGTTTAAGAGCTATTTATTTCAACAATATTTATTGTACAGGGATGTYTCATTTAGCACAGCTAGTTTAAAGAGAACCCTGTTAAAAATCATTYCATTTACAACTTATACTAATAATTGGAAATCTAGTTTACAGAACTACAATCGGATGTGTCTGACATTCCTTTAATTTCTTGAATCTGTAACCATTGCACTTACAGGTTTTGCTATATCATTGTTAGTTTACCCAGCTTGTCATGGAAATCATAACAAATATAATGATAATAACAGTATCGCTTCGCTGAGCCTTATCAATTCATCGTTAAAAGTTTGGATTTTTTGGAATCCATAAAATAATTGACACAGTTTGTATCTAAGTAACTATAWCGACTACTACAGATTCAAACGCCTTCCATGAGACTCGAGGCCCACTTTTGCAAACATGTACTTTTGGTACATATATCATAGCGTGTTTTTGGATGCAATGCGATGATTATCTAATGTCGATTCTATCAAAAATTAATTATGTTAAATTTAAGACATTTTGGAAACAYATTGCCAATTCTATGGCAGTCGATACCGCGACAAGTGCCTGCGAATGGACATAAGCTTTTGAATCCTGCGTCAATCATCTGTACTGTAGCATGTACCCAAGGTACACAGCACTGTTCATCTTACGACCAAATGYAATTATTTCAGCTTTTACATTGACACTGACTATACTTAACCACCTTGTTTCGCGCGACTGCATAGGCACACCAATGGCTCCATATTATCTGCTACACTAATTTTGGGGTCTTTTGCCATCTTATTTTCGAAATTCAAAGCCTGTAGAGTKTATACCTTATACCCGTGAAAAAGTTAACTAACAAAATTGTACAAGTTAGTGCAAAGTTTTGTTTTCAAGTTTGTGCCATTTCTTAYAAAGTYTTTCACGTATATATAATACGCCCCGTATCTCAAGTGTTAACCAATCAATGTYGACTATTTGACGAAATTGTTCAGATTCACTGAGTTAATTTCACGAGAAAAGATAAGACGCCTAGTTTCGTTGTACGATTTTGTTTGATACTGATGGGTGCCACTGCAGTATTCTTACGTGATACTTCTGATCTTTTGGATCTTGTTCACGTACTCAAGTCAACCCAGACTTTAACARGAGCCCATCATAATAAACGAACTTGTAAACTGAAAATATCATAGAGTGCATACCATATATCTATGAAAAACTTTGTCCACGAAATTGCCCAAATTTGCACAAATTATTAACTTCAGTAGAGTTCAGTATACCGTAGACCTACAAARCTTTGCACTAATTTTTACAATTTCGTTAGCTAACTTTTTYACRGATATATGGTAAGCACTCTAGTTTAAAATTTTTGGTTAGTTTGTCATCAAGACAAAGGTGGCAGTGAAGGACATCCAATTCTTTTTAAATTGGCGATACAGTTACATTTCCACTGATCAATTAACTCAATGTCAATTCAGAAATGACTTCCTTATTTTAACGAATAATTTAGGATCATATCTAAAACATCAACAACAACACCAACAAGAGCCAGAATAGATATCCGCTGATATGGTTAAATAGAAATAATCATTGAATATACTACCATATAAAAGGARCTTTGTAACGAAACACTCCAGTTTAATATCCAGGTATCTCTTTCTCAGGATTAGCAGTGATTATTTAAAAAGAATATGTGTTTTCCAGTGAAGGTTCGTGTAATTCAAAGTGTTTGTATTCCTAAAGTTGTGCATTCTGTACTTTTTGTTGGTTTTTGTTATATTTTGAAATAAGGCTAAATAAGTAAATGAGTCTAAAATCAAGGAATACAGCAGCGTTTTATTCAAAGAAAATGTTTATTATAGAATATAAGTTAAAGTTGTTAAAAGACAGTATTAAGAAATGTTATTGATTTAAAACTATGCGGAGCCATCTCTACTGCTGGCCCAATTTCGTTGTTACAGGTTCAACGTGACGTCATATAGCCGCCATATTGGATACATTAGTTTAATATAAGATTTGGGTTTTGTTTCCTTTGTGATATTGTTATATCATATAACTCAACATTGGGGAATTTCTCTTCGAGATGCCTTTTATGAATTTTCTTGAACAATACTAGCTGACAAGGTTTAGGGAAACTTTTCACTCATTTTTAAGTACGGATGGATGTGCGTGTCATTGCTAAACACGTCGCCTCTCATCGTTTTAATCGTAGTTTAAATTGTCGAATAAGACATTATTTGTGATTAGAGTTGGCTATTGGCTCCTTCCCGTGCTTTGAGGGTATTCATCGTTTTTTTCCTTCAGCAAAAATCAATTTCCTTTTACTTTCTTTACTTGGTTTAACCTTAAAATTCACAAACAACTTCAGGTAAAGTCCGACATGGTCAGAGTGGAAGTAATGAATTCATGAAGCGACTTACTCACTAGACAGTACTAAATATAGAAGCCACAACGAAATATCCTTCATTTTYCATRGGTTTATTRYCTGTACTCGAMGTGTTCCATTTTCTTTTMAAGTTCCAAGGCGTAAACCTCACTMTCAATTCTACACTGTAACTGCTTCCTCTACCTTTTCGTCTCTTATAGCTAGAATACAATGGGCATGTTTTACAATAGTCACAAGATCAAAAAAGTGTTTCATGTTGAAATATTTGAAGCCTATCTCTGAGAACAGGTCATTAAATATCATAAACCTAGAACTGATAACAACAGATTATACTTTAAATGTAATTTAGACGTAAGAAATTACATAGCTTTTATTCCGGTCAGTAGGATACCAGATAACTTGACGTCCTCCATTCGACGAGTTATCTTCTTTATAAAAATGACAAGTTTTAACTTATTAAAATAATACTGACGATCATTTTGCAATCAAGATGTTGCTAGAATATGTAAAGTATTAGCGATAGATACAGAATATTATAGAAATTGATATCGTTTTTTCCCTACCAAATTACAAAAARCTAGGTTGATGTAGCGTGAAAACCAGAGAGCATCTGACAATGCGTTCAGGGTTTAATAGCATGCGCGGCAAGCGAATATAAATGATTTAACCATGTGGAAAAGAAAACACGGTCGCGCGTCGGTCTCTTTGAAAATAGAAGTATTTAGTCTTGTTCGATTGCTGTTGCAGACTTGGCTCAAAATACAATTAATGCGTASAGATTCGCTCTTAATTAACCACATAACTCACTTATTATAATGGRTGCTTTTGGAGGAGGAAATCAAACGAAAGAACACAGAATATGGCACAAACGTATTCTTTGAAAGCAAATTAATAAAGTGATTACCAATAACACCAGAACTTGTTTAGCTAAACTGGGTTTTTCTAGCTTCTATAATATGCAAACATTTAATTTCACAAGAATCAACTTGTACCTTGTGCAACATAAAGGACAGTTATAAGCAGTTTTGCATCATTGGTTGCATTGCGTTTGTTGATAATTTTCAAAGGCCGTTTAAACTACCTTAATCCATGTTTTAGATCGGTGTGAATGAGGCTTAAGCGTATTTAAGGRTTAAATATTATTTTTGACCAAAATTGACATTTTTTGACATTTTTGATGCATAGCTCTCTCAAACCTCCCAGAGAAATAATTCAAAGCATGCATGTGTGKGTTTTTGAAATGGTCTGGTATACTAAATGATTGCTAACAACATTTCATCATTATTTACATAATGGAGTTCAGTATTTTTAGCTGCTTATTTTAACTCACTATGTACACTTTCACAGCTGAAGAAGATGCTGAAGACCTCTACGACGATCAACCAAAAGGCAARAAAAGAAAAGAAAGAACTGCTTTTACTACGCATCAATTACGAGAACTTGAAAATGAATTTACCCGTAATAACTACTTGACAAGACTTCGTCGATATGAAATAGCAGTTAGTCTGGACTTAACAGAGAGACAAGTTAAAGTTTGGTTTCAAAATCGGCGGATGAAGTGGAAGAGAGTCAAAGGCGAAAAGAAACCCGAGAAAAAATCTACGTATTTACTCCAGATTGAACGAGAAAAAAAAGTTGATAAGGAAAGCAGCTCTAATAGTTAAATATTAAACATTGGACAAAAATATATACTTTGTACTAGGCTCGAACCTTGTTTAGAAAAGACACTCGTTCACTTGGATTGGACTTCATGGCCGCCATGCTGGATTATGTTATTATTGAACATGGCAGCCATCACTTTCGTTACGATTTTGTTCAATTGAACTAATGGCATCCCAGTAATTTGATGAAATAGGTATCGTGTATCTTTTACGAGAATGAATATTTTCATACTTAAATGATATCGATGACAGCGTCGCGCTGTGAATGCTCGATAGGACATATAAATAACATGCAATTCCAGCAACTGAGCTCCGTGTTGGAGCAGAATCACAAGGGACTGAGGCACGTGTTTGCGCGATTTCGCTACTATTTAGCTTGATAAAAACTRCATTTAAATCGAATAAGCTTCCCAGTGAAGAAAGCAAACATACCCGCCAATAAGACCTTTCCGTTTGAGCGTAATGGCGTAATGCTTTCCCCCCGTTTTAGAYCACGTGTCATTCTCTTGAAAATAAAATCAGTTCATGCGTCTTATCATGCGTACCGGTTAAACAAAGAAGCGATACTCTTTGGAATGACACATGGTCTGAAATGGGAAAAAAAATAAAAGGTCTTTTGGTTACGATATTTAGAAAGAAACTTAGGATATGCCTACATCATATATATGCCTAAATCATATTGATACTAAGCTAAACAGTTCCCTTAATTCTGATTAAGCTTGGAACAAAAAAGTTTGATGCCTAGGTCGTGGTCTGACCATGAATCCTTTGGTGTTTRTTATGCATTTGGAATTATAGAGTTTGAAATCGCTGATTGCCCCTAGATTGCACGTAGTGTACTGAGGTCACCAAATAGTTTGGACAATTAGACATCTTTAGCATCAGGTTTACGTACCGCTTACCCCTAKTGGTCAGGCCTAGAAACACACCCACAAACATGGAGAATCACTCAGCATAAATGAAATTCAATATGGCTGCATTTCCAGCAACAACTTCGTTATGAAGCTTTGCTAAATGTTGAAAGTTTGACGGAAAACGCTAGGCTTTGCGGTGCTAGCAAGAACATCGTGCTACAGGTCTCTATTGTATAGACCTTGCCGGTGCTCACGCGGCTGCCATGTTGACAGGAAGAGTAGATTTAGCAACTTTAGACGTAGCCTCGCATTCAAGTGCTCAAGAATAAACATGGCTACCGCTTGAGTAAGGCCCATTGTCGTACAAATGTACTGAAACTCTTCCATAACTTATCGACTTCATTGGACTTGATTGTTTGATGCTTGTCCTATATTGTAATATAGTGTTTCACCCAACTTGTGTAAAATATTATTTTCTTTTTGAAAAATCCTTGAGAAGGCTTAATATCTTATCCTATAAATCCCATTGATAAAACTGTTGTACATTTGCACGGCAATTTAATTGATGAACTGAGGGTGGTTAACTGTACATAGTACAACAAGAGAATACTTCAGTTTCGAAATTCTCTGTTGCACAGTGCTAACCTCAATCGTGTAAATAATATTCATGTGTCACTTCAAGTCACAACAGTGTTCGTATAGAAGCATGTGGATGTTACGTCATAACCACCGTCTTGGTTCTATAACAAAGCATTTCTCGTTATCTTCTCTTGTTAGATCAACCAATTCAACATGGCAGTTGTTTCATTGTTTATTTCTCGAGGGACTTTGAGTCGTATGGTTGCACACACAGTATTTTTGAAGGTTTGATTTATCCCTTTTGGTATATGTTTAAGCAATGGTCAATGCTTAGCGTGCGTAAATCTATTTCAGTTATGGTGCACGTGGATAGTTGGGAGAGCACGATGGTAGCGTAAGAGTTGCACGAGGCGGAGCAGTTTAGCCGGGTGCATACGAGTGCTCCATACAATTTTTCTTCATATATGCAGAGCCAATCAGAGCGCGCGTTATATCTTAGTTATAAAAATGTTATGTGATAAAAATATTATACAATAACTTAAAAAATTCTCGCGCGCTGATTGGTTATTTTTTATCATCAATAAAAGGACAGACAGATAGCTGACGTCAACGCGCGCTCGCTATTTCGGTTGCTTGTTTTAATCGCTAACAATAAGACGTTTTTATCGTTTTCGCTAGTGTAAARAACAAATAGACATCAGCGTTTTGTTTGTCTGTCCTCTTATTCACGAAAMATTTCGTCATCACATTGTCAAAGTAGTATGCGGATCCACACTACTTTGACAATGTGATGACGCAAWTTATCGTCAATAAGAGGACTTACATAAAAAAAACTGACGTCTATTTGTCAATAGATAATAAATTGAGGCTTACCCTTAGTAAATGACAGGAGGCAAAAAATTGAGGCTTTCCTCCCTCCTGGGAAACTAAAGTAGAACAAAGAAGCGCGTATTGTAAGGATAAAAAATTAATTTATTCCACTTAATTCCTCTAGACCCCCTGGACATCCCCCTGGATATGTTGAATTATGTCATGGAAGTTTTAGGCTTCATTTGATCAGAATTGATGCTCTGGGTCGGTGACCTGGCATCAAGGGAGGTAATGGAGTTTTATTTCGCCAAGCCAGGTCACGTGTCAGCCCAAGGCCTCTCTTGTCGCATTACGTAACAACTTCCACCTTCCTTCCTTCCAACTAGTACATAAAGATACATTAGGGTACAGTAAGTCTCTGTGTGTGGTGTGAGAGGAGGGTGGAAGGGATGGGGATGCAATGGAAGGTCATCATTCCATCATAGAGGGTATAGTTTTCATCTGTTTTTAAAATATAATTGCTATCGATTAGGTACAAATAATAATTGCTTTACTAATAACGTTCGAAAATTTGCATTATATTATATCCACAACCTATAGTAATGAATCTTTCCATTATTTATAGCTTAGTGGTTATAGCCTCCCGAACGCTATGGGTAAGGGCACGGGTTTTATYAGTTACACTGATTTTACTGAGGTCCTCTCAGCTAGTAATTAGCAATTAAAGTTACCGCTGGGCGAGGTCAAATAGTGAGACTTCCTCAGAGCAATCTGAAGGTTATGAGTGTTAAAGGTGAAGAAAAAGAACTTAATTGGACTAGCGCTTTTTGAGACAGAATTTTACTCTGGCAGTGCCTACGTCATCATCCTTAGAGCGCTACCGTAAGCGAAAACAATTAGCTGCCAATCTATATCCTGATCAATATTAATAAGATGGACAGCTTTTAATATCGAAAGCCATAGTAGTTATGCAGGATAAGTGAATTCCTACTAAGGCGGGATGCGTTTACATTTGTTGAATCATTACATATCATGGCATCCACGACTTTTGCCATTTTCTTTTCATAGCTTGYGCCGAATATATTGTATTATATTAAAAAGCATTAATATATATAGTAAATATATATAATATCATAGTATCCTAACTAAGTGCGCAATCTGATTGGTTCAAAACCGTGCTCCCCACAGAACGGAGGGCGGTTCTTAAAGCAAACATAAGGAAACTAAATTGAAAATTACAGCTTCTATCTATATTATAAAACTCTCAGAACAGGTTTTTTCTGCGTTGCGAGTTTATGTATGAAAGAAATATGGGGCTCGCGCATCTCCTCCTCCTCTTTCGTGTGTGTTGTATTACCAAAGGGAGCTCGCCGAAATTCTCAGTTGATTAATTTGTCAGCACATCTGTTTATTGCGCACGCGCGTTTGAGTTTACCAACCCAGAGAGACCACTGTGTCAAGGTTATTGTCATAATATTCGTATTATTTATTTCGTATGCTTTTCATGGCATTAAGACCATAAAATCTTGATAGTTAGGACAATTTTACTTCTAATAAATTATTCGTATAATTTACATTATAATTCGTTTTAGACAATATAAATACTTATTGTTTAATCTTTACAAACAATCATTATGGTATCAATCACGTATCGAGTCAYATGATTTAAGGTGTTTGCCAGTAACTTTGATCGGTGTCTCGTCTAGTGAAGGGGATGGRTAATGGCTGTGTTTGATTCAGTGTTTACTTGATGTGTCAGTAGAGTCCTAGTTGTCGTCTCGGAACAAGTCTCTCAGATATGAACTTTTCAGTTCTTCAGGAGGGTATTGTAGACCTAGGCGTGACCTATGAGCAAATGACATATTAGATTACATTGAACCACACCGCACTGCACCGCACCGCACCGCACCGCACCGCACCATTATACTTACCCAGTCGTCCCTCCTCGATATTCTTCGGGCCCCGAGAAAGCCATCTGATTTCTTCTCTTGTTTCTGAGGTTTCGTTTGCAAAATCGTCCGTATCGTCTGCTTCCAAAATCGCATTTGTTATCAGCACTACATAGCATACTAAAGGCGATGATCAATACGAGGATTACTGATAGCACTCTTTCTTGGTACATTGTATTCAGGTGAGGTTTTGTCCAACTTTCGACTTAATTCTCAATAGATGCTGCAGCTACAAGAAAAGAGAATATTAATTTTTAATGTCGTAATAGGCCGCGATAAAAAATACCACCGTCACCTTTCCATCC